TGAGACATGCATTCTGCTTCCTTTCAGAATCGTAGTGGACTATTCAATGCGATGTTCCTTACACAATGATAAAGACTTGTGGGGGCCAGCCGATGTATAAGTCTTATCCTCCCAGACGAATCTGGAACCATTTACCTTGCCCGGAGGGTAGAAGACTCCGTTGTGCGGGAGCCGATCCAAAGTCTCCGGACCGTGCGCGTGGTGAGCGTTTCCCGAGTGGTGAGTGAACAGAAAATGTTCTTTCCACCGTGGGCAATGAGGGCTTCTTATTTGCCAGCTGCAACCACTTTACATGTCATTACTTCGAGAGAACTTCCCAATTACCAGCCAGAAATCTCAAAAGACGAAAGCATATCATTAGCACAGAGTGTACCCCTTCCAACTGATTCACTTTTGCCCTCTCTACAGGTGTTATTATAAAATGGCGGTTGGAGGAAAAAAGAAATAAACGAACCAACTGCTGACGCTCCCTTCGCGACAGGGTGTCACCACGAAGAAGACGCCACATATATTTAGCACTTAATTTGGTTTCAAGAGCCAGCAGTCGAAATCCATGGTAGTAATGTTTAAATTCATGTACAATCCTTTGGATGATAGTTGCCTTTTTCTCAGTTGATGAGGTGGCGGGGACCTGTAATGAAAGACACATTACTCGAAGCCCACAGTTCATGAATTTATGCTGGATCCTTTGACAAATATCAGCTTGAAGAAGTCAGTGGTTTACTCATTTGTCACTGGATAGCCTAATCGAAAAAGAACATTCTGTCGCCGCTTCGCAGATTCAGCCGCGAACAGCGTTCATAGTTTGCTTATCCTGCTGCGACAGCGTCCCGCGTTGCGGTTGTGATCTACGATTCGCCGAAGAGCGTGTTTTCACTAGTCTCGTTCACGACTGGCCACTGCCGGCAGCATGGTGTTTAGCGCTTTTGAGGCTGAGGAATTTGGTACGGTGTTACTTTGCAGGCTTCTGCTTCTTCATATAACCCTCGCTTGCCTGAGCTTAGAGATCTTTCAATCCCTTACCTCATTCGGTAGGGTTTTAGTCGTTTCGTTTACAAGAAGCTCGAAAACTTAGCTGAAGATAGAAATGACTTCATTTCACTCACGCGCATTAATCCGGCGCTAACGGAGGAGGGGAGGAAGGGGGGGGGGCAGGGCACAGGGCACAGCATCGCTGATGTGGGCAAAGTGGGTAGTGTAGGTCACATCCTCCTCTCCCGAAAGAGGGTGTCAGTACGATCCCCCCCACCTAAATGAGGTCTTGGTGCGATCCCCCTTCCCCAACACCTACCTACCAATTTCCCACATTTTCCAGTACAGCTCGTCGAGCGCGAGGGGGGTGGGAATATAGTACATTGAACAGGACAAAGTCCACGCAAAAGTCGCAAACCGGGAAAGATTTTTTCCCAATGCCAGGCAAATTCCTCTCAATCGCAGCATAAGACCCCCTCTCCCAACGGACGCAAATTAGCAACCCACATCCCTCCAGCGAAAAGTACCCCCCCCCCCTTGATGTGTTTCACACAACGATGCTGTACCCTGGGTGAGGGCATTCGGTAGTGCCTCTGGATCACTTCCCAAACGAAGTTGATGTAGGTAAGATTCAAAGCTTAGACTTTGTGGAGACCATGTCTTTCTGTGGTGCAGTCTTTCAGTGACCACGGTGGGCTGTCCGAGCCTAAGTCTTGGTCAGAGGAAGGGACACAGATAAGCTGCTGAGGACCTTAACTATGTTAGCGCTCAAAATCGTGATTAACAATGAACTCCGAGAACCAGTTATCTTGCAGGAGCTCTGAACAAACAAGAATGACGACAAGCGAGCTTCACGACCACAGCTGTTCCGCATTACAAGAACGACACGTATCGTATTCTAGTGGCTTATAAGAATTGCAAGGAAATCGCAAACTATGAGCGCTAATTCATTCAGGACAGAACGAACATATCGTCAGTAATAGAAACTCAATACCCACCAATTTACGCTTTCGAGCTTCTTCCTGTCGGAGTAAATCCTCCTTCAGCATTTTCAAAGTGTACTCCACTTTGCTACGATCAGCGGCCGCATAGCGTAGGCTTGTGTGCAGTAAACGTTTTTGAAAAAGAATGCGATTCACTTGAGAACTGCAAAGTAAATGATTAGCGACTCTTGGGCTGTGATCATGCTTTGCGTCAGCGTTTTGAACGTGCGATGGCGTTTTGAGCGTTTTCGCGGGCACTCTCGAGCTTTCGGCGGGCAGTCGCAGAAGATGCTGGCGTGCGCTCGAAACGCTGACGCAAAGTACGAACGAAGCCTTAGAATAGATGAAACGGAATCACATACCATGATGGAGCATTGATCCCCTTGTAGGCCAGCGAACTGAGATAGTACACACGACGGCATTGCCGGAAGACCATTTTCGTCAGATAATGACGAAAAAGTTACGTCAACGAATATGAAACTTTGAAATCACTAGCGCTTCTTACTCTTAGCAAATCCTGAAAGTACACACTTCACTTTTTTCCCGTTAGTTTCTAGTTTGGCACGTATTCTGCCAGTGCACGTTTAGAGACCAGCAGTGAAGAAAAACGTCGGCAAATCGATTACGAAACGGAAACAAAACAAAGACCGTATCGAGGCGGAGGGGTGCAGAAGTCATAAGAACTGCAATCTACGGGGCTGTATAAGGGAAGTTTGCGCATCTAACTGGTACCGTGATAACGGGAGGCCTTATTTTATGGCGGAGAAATCACTTTTCAAGCCATTTACGTGGTACTTTTTTGGTCTCAGTATCTCTCAAACGCGAAACCTTCCTTCTTTTCCTTTCTCGTTCCTTTCTGCTTCCATCCCACTTCCCTTCCGCCCTCCAAACGATCGACCACAATGTGTGATGCGAAAATACCTTTGGACCCTCGCAAAGAGAGAGAACATCCGATCGACACGGGCCCTGTAACCCTTTTTGTCCCTCAAAGTAAATAAGGTTCTCATGATCAGAGTGGTTGAGCCTTTTATCTTAATTTCACAGATGCAAAGTCCCAAGAAAATCGGCAAAAGATTACGTAATCGGTAAT